ATGGCCTCTATCTTCCCCCTGCTGAGTTTGCTGACTGTTGGGCCTAATCTGCTCAGTTTAGACCTCACAAGTGAATCGATTTAATTGACAGAAGAAACCTCACCTCAGCTGGGGGCAGTTTCCCAACATGGGCGGAAAGGGGAAAGACCATGCAGTTGTTGCTCATATAGCATTGTGCGAAAGTCACCCCAAATCTGCAGACACTCTTACAAGAGTGAACCTCAAATCAAGATTTTGGGGGTGGGGTGAAGGAACCAAGGGACATGAATGTCTCAGGGAAGGTGATCACACGTCTGTTGGTGTGTAAACGGGGTGGAGCAACCTCCCCGTGGAGTCCTTTTAATAACTACTTGTATGGACCAAAGTGGCAACAGTAACTCTAAACAGTAAACAAAAACCTTAGTGAGGAGAGAGAATACATTAATGAGGGGAAACAACTCAGACCAGGAGGATGCGAATAGTTGCCCAACTCAAAGAATGCCATCGCGGTCACTGACTCCTGCCTGTGGGAACGGATGAAGTGGTGTGTGCCTTGTTTTGTAGTCTTGACAATACCCACTGTCGTCGGGTCATCAAATCCAATGTATTTGTATTTTCTTTTTTTAAAGTATGTGGAGGAAAACCATTCTAGTAAGGGTAGGTAAAAAGTCCAGCAAAGCCAGAGATTAACAGATAAACTAGAAGCTAATAAAAGGAGGGGGAAAATAAGTAGCATTAAAAAACTCTGCAGGAAGATCGCTGAGTTAACATTGACTCAATAGCAGTGAGTGAGTAGAACAGATCAGCTTCATTTTATTATTAAAATGAACCCGTGTCCCTCCAGATTCCTTAGCTCTCAAACCAAAACAGTGGTCTGAGCAGTTAAAGAAAAAGGAGGAAAGTGAACCTGAAGTGGACTTGGAGTCTTGTGACAAGTTCGCTTCAAACAATAATAAATAAATAAATAAATAAATAAATAAATAAATAGATAGATAGATAGATAGATAATAGATAAATAATAAATAAATAAATGCGTGAATAAATAAATAAATAATTTTAAAGGATGAAATGAACCCAAGTGAATCAATATTATTCCAATGGCTGTCAAATAATTAGAATTTATAAGGATTTACGAGGAAATGAATTAATTATTCAAACTAAATAATTATTTAGTCAATAGCCATAAGATCTGGAAGAAGGGATAAGAGTGTATGAGCCCCAGTAAAATGATAAAAAACAAACAAAAAGATCTGGCAGAAGGTAGCAACAACAAAAAAGAATACAC